TCGGGTGTTTGTGTCCATTTGCCAAGGTGCCATCTTGGGAATGCAGTGTTTGAGCCACAGCCACGTGAAATTTATCCGAGCCTTTGGTAACATGGGGATTTATGGTCACAATCTCCCTATTGAAATGTTATCGCCACGCCCAGCTTTTGCCGGTTAGGAAACGTTAGAAGCCCTTGAGGCTTCTCGAGGGCGTGTTGAGCATGCATTCAGACTCTCCATGAGAAGTTAGGAGCCATGCCAAACTCTGTTGATGCTGCGAGGGGAATGGTCGCTTCCCGCAGGTTCCTCTCGATTCATCCTCGTTCGTGCTGCAACTAACTTGTGGGAATTTCAGTGATGGACCTAGCACGACCAAAGGGGCATCCGGCTTCCTCCACGAACACCAAATCTGAACGGAGTCGCAAAGAGCCTTCCCCCGAGGTCTGGGAGAATCTACCAGAGGCGGGTTCGGGGGGTTCCGGGGGGGGGGAAAGGGCGGGGTGCTGGGGGGTGCCGGAAGTGAGGGCGACGTGCGTGGAATGCGGCAAGCATCGGCAAGTGAAGCGAGAAAGCCGCCAAGCATGGCAGCGAGCATGCCAAGGATTCATTTGGTGGGTGTGCTTTTGCTTGTCTCATACAACACAACAAATCTGTCGATCTTCGCACCGTCAGGGCAACCTTACTCAAATAGAGTTCATTTGTGTTCGGCTCGTACAAGGACGACCACATCTGGAAACATGCCCCTTGCGCTCATCGTCTTTGTTGTCACCTTGTATGGCAGTTGTTGCCACCTTTGTCAAGCAACAGGGAGCTGACTTTCTTCAAATCCACTTGTTCCCGAAAGCATCGCGAAGGGTTCTTCCGTGCGGAGCCCTTGGACAAGTTACATAGAGCCAAGTTACATAGAGCCAAGTTACATAGAGCCAAGTTACATAGAGCCAAGTTACATAGAGCCAAGTTACATAGAGCCAAGTTACATAGAGCCAAGTTACATAGAGCCAAGTTACATAGAGCCAAGGTTAGGTAGAGCTTAGAGCTTCGGCGTTAGCAGCTATGTAAGTTAGTTTAGGTTTCTAAGGCGCCGGGGCGGGAGTTTGATCGTCGCTCGGGATTGCGACCCTCTGCGGAGATTCGCGTGGTCGAGGTTCAAAAACTTGCTGGCCGCGCGCGACCCTCTGCGGAGATTCGCGTGGTCGAGGTTCAAAAACTGAGGAGTTTTTACGATTTCTGCTGGCCGCGCGCGACCCTCTGCGGAGATTCGCGTGGTCGAGGTTCAAAAACTGAGGACTTTTTACGATTTCTGCTGGCCGCGCGCGACCCTCTGCGGAGATTCGCGTGGTCGAGGTTCAAAAACTGAGGACTTTTTACGATTTCTGCGGGGCGCGCGCGACCCTCTGCGGAGATCGTGCGCGTCGAAGCGCTCTCGCTGTGGCGCCGTGCGAATTTGTTTTAGTCTCGGCGAACCCTCTGCGGAGATTGTGCGTGTCGAAGTGCTCTCGCTGTGGCGCCGTGCAATATTCTTGCTCGCGAAACGGCCTTTGGAAGTTGTCTCGTGGTTTGCGCGCCTGCTTTCGCAATCCCGCGGTCGCGGGTTCGATTCCCCCCTGGTCCGCGGCAGCTCCGGCTTGAAAATCGCAGCTTTTAAGTACAAACGTAGTACGCGGAGCGTGCTCCTGCAGCTCCGGCTGGAAAATCGTAACTTTTAAGTACAGACGTAGTGTGCGGAGCATGCTCCCGCAGCTCAGGCTGGAAAATCGCAACTTTTAGATGCCAACGTAGTACGCGGAGCACACCCCCGCAGCTCCGGCTTGAAAATCGCAACGTAGTGCGCGGACCGTACTCCTGCAGCTCCGGCTGGAAAATCGCAACTTTTAAGTACAGACGTAGTATGCGGAGCGTGCTCCCACGCAACTTTAAAGTACAAACGTAGTACGCGGAGCACACCCCCGCAGCTCCGGCTGGAAAATCGCAACTTTTAAGTACAAAAATAGTATGCGAAGTACATTCCCACAGCTCCGGCAGCACTTGCGCAGAGCAACTTGCGCAGAGTCACTTGCGCAGAGCAACTTGCGCAGAGCAACTTGCACAGAGCAATTGCACAAAGCACTTGCGCAGAGCAACTTGCACAGACCAACTTGCACAGAGCACATGCGCAAAGCGCTTGCACGGAGCAACTGGCGCAGAGCACTTGCGCAGAGCAACTTGCTCAGAGCACTTGCGCAGAGCAACTTGCACAGAGCACATGCGCAAAGCGCTTGCACGGAGCAACTGGCGCAGAGCAACTTGCACAGACCAACTTGCACAGAGCGCATGCGCAAAGCGCTTGCGCGGAGCAACTGGCGCAGAGCACTTGCGCAGAGCAACTTGCTCAGAGCACTTGCGCAGAGCAACTTGCACAGAGCACTTGCGTGCAGCAGCGTGCAGCAGCTTGCAGAGAGCAACTTGCGCGCAGCAGCCTGGAACAATGCAGCTTGCGCAGACCACTTTCGTGAGAAATCGCGCGGCGCAGTTCGAGAGGAAAGTAGGATGATGAGATGGAGCTCTCATGTGACCATACACACTGAGCATCGCCGCGCGCAGACACGCTCGCCGCAGCGATGTAAAAAGGTGTCTTTGCGGCTGGATGAGCGCCTGTGGAAAAATGCTTTCGGGCCAATCGTCCTCTAGTTTTTAGTAGTCGATAGCTTCCCCCAGAACCTGGCTCAATGGATAATGGATGGGGGTCAGTGGTGCAGGTTGGGCTAGGTTGGATCTTTTGGCTGCAGGTGGTGCTGAAGCCAGCGCATGCCTACTACGATGAGTACTGGTCTGAGGGGGGCTTTGTGAAGCCAGGGCCCAAGACTGGCCTTGCGGCGCTTGGGAGGGAAGACCAGGCTGGCTGAGAAGACCAAACCAACGGCAAGCAGAGGTGCAACTCAGGTGTTGGTTTTGGAGCTGTGCCAAGGTGTCTTGCAGTGGATTCCGGATTCCAATGCCAGGAAATTTGTATGGGGACGTTGGGAGGTGAGGAGAAGGGTGCCGTGAGTTCATCATTCCGGCAAACCCTTCCGTCAAACGTGTCAGCTGATGTTTGGCCTTGGGGCGAACTTCTTCCCAGGCTGGGGATCGTCCACGTTTTTTGTTCTTGGCGACGCCATGGCTTCTGTGAACCGTGTTGTTGTTCGCAGCATGGTCATGGCCTCTAGGGTCTAGTTCTATAGGTCCTCAACAAAACTTGTCTTGGCTTGGGGTCATTGGGACGAACATCACTTTGATATTTGGCCCACCTAGCCATCTTGGCAGCATGCAATCTCGATTTGGCGTGGGCCTGCTAGCTCACCCTTGCAAGCAACGTGTCCTCGGGATAAGCGTTGCTTGCGACCGGTGCTTTTGGCGCGCCCTTCGCTCCGCCCTTCGCATCAAGCGGATCGGGGGGTTTTTTGGTGCGTCGATGAACGGCCGCCAAACGGGTCGTCTGCCCCGAGGTTGTACAAGCAGAAGCGGTCGGTGGAGCACAAGCACAACCCGTGCCCCTGGCGATTTTAGGGCGAAAATGGGTAGCTGGGGTTGCCACAAGCAAACAACAACCCAGTGGATTAGGGCAAGCAAGCCTGTGCTATGCTCAAGAAGTCAGAGCTGATCCTGGCCAGGCCAGCTGGGGGTGTGCGCCACAACCGCGAGGGAGGCTACGCTGACTACAAGGTGCCGATTGACGAGTCCCCAGTGACGTGTGCATGGCTGTTGGGTTCGACGCAGTGTGTGAGCCAGGTCGGGGAAAAGGTTGCCAGCATAGCTCAGAAGCACTCATGGACACGAGGCCCTGCACTTGCCTGATTGCCAGTGATTTCCCCAGCCTCTCCCTCTTTATAGGTGGGCATGTGCTACATCGCTCCCGACATGCTAACGGTGGCCGTTCCGCCTGCGGCGGCAACACGGCTGCAGGAGGGAGGATCATGCTTCCCCAGAATTAGCTCCCCCTTTTGTTTTTGCTTTTTTTGGGTCCCTTTGTTTTCCACTAACCAGGCAAAAAACATATATTTTTTGCTGGGGTCCTAATTCCAGGGAAGCATCAAGGTGACCCTCGCACTGTGTGACCCTCCCAAGAGCTGCTTGTTGTGTGTGTTCTCAGAGTTGCCGACCCCCCCATTCTGTCTGCGGCAGACCCGTTTTACTTCTTGTTTGTTTGGCAGATTCTTGGTGGCAAAGAAATGCGAATTGACTGGCAGATTCCGTCAGAGCATGCAAGCTGATCAGCAAAAACTCTTTGGTCCTTTGCTTGGAGTGTGTGTAAGGCGCAAGGCACATGCACCAAGCTTCACAGCTCTCCATGTTAAGAAGACACCTAGAGGCCTCGCAGCTTTCGCTTTGGAGGCCTTGCCTCCAAGCAGCTTTTGCTATTGGTTGCCTTTGCCATCCGTTGGCAATCTCCAGTCAGCCCTCTGCAGGGCTTGTGGGCAGAAGCCTCAATTCTGAGACAGCGGGGCCTGCTGGCTGCTGTCTTTTGGAAGCTGCTGAGTCTGTTGGGTGCCCCTCCTTCACTTCAACCAGGGAAAAACCCCTTTTTTCGCGGATCCCATTTCGATTTATGGGGTCTATTTGGCTTGAGCGGATGAGTCCCCTCCCTCCGTGCTTTTCACCTTTCTCTTCTTTGCCCGTGGTCATAATTTTGACTCTTTCCGAGTTATAAATATGCTTAGCACTTGGGGTGACTCTGATGACGGTGAGCACAGGCCAAGTCACCTGGGAAGTTTTGCTCAGGTGCATGAAGAGCGGCCGCGTCGGTGGAAGCGATGAGCTACTTCGGACTTCGGACCGCCATCTGCGAGGCTCGGGTCCCGCGCGAGGGTTTGGCGCAGCGACAAACTTGGAGCTTGACATTCAGAGACCTGCTGGCACCATGATGTTGATTGGTGAAGGTGGTCATTTCTCTTAACCTATCGCATAAGGTTGACTTAGACGACGGTCAAAAATGGGGGAGCAAGAATTGCAAAGCATGAGATGGGATGTCGTCACCTTGGCAGAGATTTGGTGGGCCTTTGTCGAGTTGGCCAGCCTGGCTCAAGCATTCACCGTGTTTGGCGGCTTTTGGAGAGGGCTTGCAAGGTGAGCCATGGATGAACCCTTGCTCTCAGACTGTGTGGCCAGGGCCGAGACCGGATGGCTTCAGCTGCACGAGTCATGGGGGCGTGCGTTGAAGCGCCTCTTCACAAGCGCAGCTTTGCTGGATGCGCTGAAGCCGAAGGACATCGGGCAAAAGTCGCTTATGCGAGACCCTGGCCCCCTTGTAAAGGGAGACCAACAGAAGGTTGTTTGAACAGCAATCAGCGGTTTAAACACATTTGAACAAGGGGGTGAATCGCCCAAGCCTGCCGAAGGATGTGCCCGACACCTCAGACACCTCCTCTGAATTCAGCCTGGTCAGCGAGCCGGTCAGCGAGCCAGATGTTCCCGGGCTGCTGGAAAAGATCTTGGGGCATGCGGCGCAAGGATTCAGCGACACACGGGTCCTTGAAGCCAAGCCGGGATTCCTCGAAGCTAAGCCAGGTTCCCAGCCATATGGTTCCTTAGACTTTTAGACTTTTGGACTTTTGGAGTTTGGCGTGTATGATATACATAATCATATCCCACTAAAAAAATAACTTCAACACGGGATCAAGAGACCACAAAGGAAGACGTGATGAAGATGCCAACGCAGCTCATCTCCACGCACAGCTGTGTGGTCCTGGGTCCCGCAGGGACCGGCAAGACCACGCTGGTGAACCACTTGGCAGGGGCCAGGTTTCATGCTGGCCCGCAGGCAGATGACAAAACACTGGAAGCTCAGAGCTGTGCGCTGCGACTCCCGAAAAATTCGAAGGTGAGTTTTGTGCTGATTGACACCCCTGGTTGGAGCCATGAGACCAGCACGGATATCAAGGAGGAGTACAAGAAGGTGCTGAAGGAAAAGCAACTCGTGTCGGAACACACGCCTCACATCATCCTGTTCTGTGTCTCGGTGTCCAATATCCGACAATTTCAAGACAGGGAAGCGGCCAGGATGAGTGACAGGCTTCATGAGCTTAAGTTCGACCAGCGCTTTCCCATCAAAGTCGTACCCGTGGCAACTTTCGGAGACACACAGCAGCCAGCAAAGATAGATGAGCTCAAGAGCACGGTGAAAGCTCTTGCAACCAAAGCCTTCAAAGACACAGGTGCACAAGTGGAAGAGCCAGCGTGCACTATGTTTCCGCCACATGGGCAGGCTAAAGGAGTGGAGGAACTGAAAGATCAGCTCAGCGGCGTTTTGGATGAGCAGATTCGATCCCCTGAGTTTCAGAGCCTTTGGCAATTGGCTTTTGCAACCAGTGTGGAAGCCGCCACCAGGGAGCACTGTGAGTCGCATCCGGACAACGACTCAGCACTGCGCCTGTTCAAGAGCGCCTTCTGCACAGTGGCGGCCGCCTGTGGGAAAGAAGTCGACGTGGGTAGCTTCAACGAGATGACCGCCGAGTTTGAAGAACCCCCATGGTGGGTCATTCGAGAGATTCCGACGGAGAAGTTGACCTGGCGACTTGTCCGGTCCTTCAATCCTGCCATGTTGTTGGGACTTACCACCTTTGCCTGGCTTTGCAACTGGACCAAGCTCTGCGTGGCTTTCGTGGCTTTGGCGGCAGTCTGTTTCATGGTTGTGCTTTTCTGGAGGCCCAGATATGGTTGTCACATGTGCACAACATGGTTGCAGAGCCTCAAGCGCCAGCAGTCACAGCTGCAGACAGGTTTGCGCAGGATGCAACGATTGCGAGCGCGACATTTGGCCATCATGCTCCTTTTCGTTGCTTTGATCCTTGTGTGGGCAGAGCTCAACCATGAAGTGGCCACTACCCTGATGTTGCGGGGGCAGCTGGATCAAGCGAAGCATGAGCTGAAGACCACGCAAGGGAAGCTGCATCACGTGAAGCATGAGCTGAATACCGCGAAGCATGAGCTGAATACCGCGAAGCATGAGCTGAATACCACGCAAGGGAAGCTGGATCACAAGAAGCAAGAGCTGAATACCACGCAAGGGAACCTGAACGACATGAACGAGAAGTACAAGAAGTACATGTGCGCTTGGAAAAAGCGAGAATTGCGGGGGCAGTGCCAGGGCTTGAAGAGCATGGACCTTGTGCACACAGCAGAGACCTGCGAAGAAGTGTGTTGCCAGGCAGGCAAGGACTCCTGCAGCACTTGGCAATACTCCGCTGACGAAGGCTGCTGGGTGGGAAAACCCAGTAGTTGCGATGGCACTACCGATGGCAGTTGGCTTGGGCGGGATCGGAAGTAGGCGGTTCGCGCTGGGTTGACAATTACGAATTAGCACACCTCAGGCGCACGTGCAGCTTGATGTCGATTTGCAGCTCAATTTGAAACAGTCAGATCTGAATCGGTGCATGAGCTTTCAGCTTTGATCATGTCGGACGCCTTGCACTGCCCCTTTAAGGCGCCTTGCAGCCAAGAACTTTCTTTGCTCCCACATTGCGGGCAAGGTGAAGGAAGCTGCGATGACCAGCGGTTAGTACCCGCGACTTGGGCCGACATGGGCACACTCCCAAGAGCGGAGTGACAAACAAAGGCGATGCTGCTGTTGGTGCCACCGGTTTCGGGCAACCAACACGAGTTTGGTTCTTGAAGGTGCGGTTTCCCATAAGTTTCCCTTTAAACCTCCAAAAAGGGTACCCCCAAAAAGGGTACCATCAAGCGACCCAGCAGAGACCCAGCTGGGGTTTCAACGGCGCGTCCGACCGGGCCAGGCATCAGCCGACAGCGGCGCTCCCGATCCGCGGCTCCCGGCCTCGGACAGTGCGCCGGGCCTGGCGACGTCGCTAGCTGACGATCGGAGGGTGGAAGACAAATGTTCCTTTTGGGGAAGCCAATGCCCCCGATGTCCACTTCCATTGCTGGGAAGAGGGAAGCTGATTCCAAGTTGCCCAAATGTTAGCGGCTTTCATGAGTCACAGCTGGCCCAAGCTTGGCATGCTGGGTTGCGCAGGTTTGGGGCCGCAGCTGGGCACATCACTGTTGGCTCGTCCATCGTGCTGCGGTGGTCTGTTTAGATGCATCATTCAAGTTTCCAAATTCCAGTCAAGAGCAACTTCTTTGTTTTGGCAGACGGAGCGCTAAAAACATGGGTTTGCGATATGGAACCTCCAAATGTGTGTCCACATTGGGTTGCCTTTTTTTTGCCGTCCTAGATGACAGCTGATGCAAAAACTAATGGGCGTTGGCCCAATGCATCTCCTGGTCAAGTGAGCAAAACGTTATCACCGCCTCGGCGAAATGGTGCCTAAGCAAGACCATGCGACCGCTGGCAAGCAACTCGTTAGTAAAGTTAGGCCAGCACGGCGGCGAGCGATTTTTTTCGCCGCGTTCTACCAAAGGAGATTGTGGATGAAAGACAGTCTCGCAGCAGTTCGCAGAAATGAGACCCTCTGAATACTGTCAAAAAAAGAAACCAAGTCCTTGTCGTCAGAACTGCGCGCATGCTCGCGCTAGGCTATGAGATAGGGCGAGGGAGCCGGTGTCCTCAAGCTCGTGTGCCGGGCCGGGGGCCACGGGTTTGGAGGCAGCAGCGGGGGGGGGGGGAGGGCTAGTGTGCACTTTGCTTGGTGCAAACTGGCCAGTCTACCAAACATTAAAACCCCATGGCTTGCGCCTTCAAGCTGATGGCGTTTGTTCTTCCGAAAGCTTCTTTCTTGGGCTCCTGGCTGCGTTTGGCACCCGAGGGGATCCCGGGAGAGTTCGCGGCTCCAAGTCCAAGGACATGGGATTGCCGGATGGAAACATTTCGCCCGAGCTTCCCCTTTTGAAACAACCTAGAAAGAGAAAAGCCTGAACAAGGAAGGCAGAGTCGGATTTCCCTTTGAAGGGTGGTCTTTAAACATCAACTTTTGGAAGGCAGATTTGATTAAAGTGAGGGGGCAAGATAGGGAGCCCATAAATTCCCCCCAAGATATGAAGTCCGTAATCAAAGCCAGCTTCATCAAGGACGAGCAGTCAAGAGTTCAACTAGAGGTACGCTGACACCTCTTCGTGCTAGTGGCTATTACGCTAACATGGACATGTTGTTCTACCTTTTACTTCACCCATTTTCCGGAGTGAGTGAGATGTCAAAAGGCCGGATGCCGCACTGTGGGATCGGATATGGCGATACTCGTGCGCTTCCCGGTGTCTTTGCCCCGCAATCCAAACTGTTGGGGATGCCATCCGCATCCGCCGCCCGCTCCGGGCTCAGGCTTTGGCCCAAGGGGCCCCCGCCCCTGTCGACGCTTTCCGCATCGTACTTGGTGTGAGCAATGAGTTTGCAGAACTTCATGGGCGGTGGAAAGGCCAGTGATCTGGCTTTCCTGTTTTCCGACGTTGCCACAGACGTGGAGAGTCTCAACGGCATGCAATTGTCCAGTGGCACACCACTTGGAGTAGTGGTGGGCTCTGTGATCAGCAAAATTGTCATCAGTACAGCTCTGGCTACTTTGGGCATCACATGCACTCTCTTGTTGATACTGGGGTTGCCAGAAAAACAAAAGCGGCACATTCAGTCAGGTCTGCCAAAGGGAGTCTACTCCTTCTCAGTGGGGGTGGTGGGCTTCGTCTACCTCAGCACTGAAACCTACGTCCCAAGCTTGCCACAGATGGAACTGGACCTCCAGGGCTCGCAAACACTCTTAAGTGGCACGGTACAAATCAACCTCTTGATGAAAGCACTGGGATGCTTCATCATCGCGCCGCTCTCCGATCGCATCGGCCGCCGGCCTGCGATGCTCACCTGCCTTGCCCTGGCGACACTGACCTCATTCAGCTGCATGCTGGCCACACACATTTCCTGGTTTTTCTTGGCTCGCATCTTGCAGGGCTTGAGCGAGGCCTGCGAGTGCCTGGTTTTTGCCATCATCCGAGACTTTTGCGATGATACGGAAGAGCGTTACCAGGTGCTCTCCTCAATTTGGATCGCCACCATCTTCGCCAACATGTCGGCTCCCCTGATTGGTGGCGTCATCGCGATCTTCTCCAGTTGGAGGCATGAACAACAGAACAAGTCTCGGGCCACTGCTGTGATGAGGGAACCAGGGCCCAATTAACACGGAACCCAGAAGACACCCAGTCCTACAGGAAGCCTTTACGGGAGAAAACGCCCCCGGAAAGTGGGTTCCATGTTCAGAAGATGTCGGGGAGAGCGATCCTCTTCCCGGTTCGCTCCTGGAACAAGGAAGCTCCCTCAGGAACAGGGTTTTGTCCCTTCCGTAAAAAACGTACGCCTCCGGGGTTCTCCGTGAAAAGGTACGCCCTCCCCGGCGGGAGAACCGCCAACCGGGTTCGGGTTACGCGAGGTTCGGGTTCCTGTTGCTGGTGGTGTCCTGGGGCGGGCTCTTCCTCTTCGCCTACCTCAAGCTGCCGGAGAGCGCGCCGGACGAGGCGAGGAGCTCCTTGCTCCAGGAGCCCGAGTCGCGGTCGCGCAGCAACTTGGGGTCTCCTCCGGAATGACTTTTAAGGGTAGACCAAATGGATGTTTGCTTGTTTGTATTTTTTTGGTAGGGGTTTTCTTTTGTTGGGACACCCAAAGGACAACCGCTATTTTGGGGTTCCCATCAAAAACAGGCATTCCAAACACGATGCGGAATCTGAGTTCATGTGTTTTGTTGTGCACCTTAGAAACCATGTGTGCCGGAAGGCCCCCTTGCTGGGGATGGTCACAAAACCTTTCAACTTTCAAACCAGGGTTTTTGATCTGAGGGAACCAGAACCGAGCACAGTGCTGTAATTTGCGCATGGCCCCCGTGTTTTTTTTGCGGATGCCGCAGGGGTTGCCCGGTGTGCCGGTGGGTTGCAGATGAAACCCATCCAACCCCAGGACCTTGCGACCTGCACGGGGGACTGGCACCAGGATTGTTTGATCATCGCGGAGGGGCTCTTCTACTCTTGCGCCTCAGAAAAGGACAAAATTCATACGCCGCTTTCTATGTGTCAGGAAAAGAACAACAAGCCCTATGGCGCTTTCTATGTGGCTCGTCGTTCTTTTTTAGACATCCACGGCAACCATCCAGAAAATGGGGGAGTGGACATTCTTCAAATGATGTCAACCGGAGAATCCGAATCATAGCCCACACGTTATACTGACCATGGAAACAGAGTTAGAATACGGTGCCTGTTTCAGTGTGTATGAGCCTTGCTCTTTGTTTGTTTTTCCCCCCCAACAGCTGAAAGCTTTGGGGTCTCAGCCCAGATAGGTTCTGCAAGGGCTGCGGGGTGGTGCGAGCTGTTGGGGATATCACCTGAGCTTATTTCTGTGTACCCGTTTGTGGGCCAAGGCTACTTCAGCTTTTTGGCCAATGTGAGCTTCGTGATGGAGGCGGGGGGGATGTGTTGACGGGAGGAAAGACTCAAGCAATGGGTGGTCTTCGTGGGACCAAGGGGGACCCGCTTCTTTGTTTCGACTGCCAAAAAAGGCAACCTGTTTCGTTGGAGGTCAACAGACAGGCTTGGGGTTGGAGAAACCGGGTCTCAATATGAAAGAGTGGTCCTTTTGAGAGGGAATGGGAATCAACATGGGCAACTTTTTCTGACGTTGAAAGAGCATTGGTTCCTTAGACCACTTCTCGGGGCAAAACTGTTTAGCCCTGCTTCTCCCTTTAAAGCCACAAGAGGGGTTCACCATCAAACACGACAACTCCCAGTTATGGGTTTGATTTGTAAAGGAAAGCCTCGGTGGACACCATTTACATGGGAATTTATGTCCACTTCCACCAACCATGTGTGAATCATCGTACATGGTCTTCATGACTTCATGACCTGATTCATCCTTTTTGGAGCTTGTAGGATGAATTTGTTGTGAATTGTGACTGGTGGGCGACTTTTTCCCTCTAAATATCAACCCCCCAAAGGAAACTCACTCCTGCCTAGAAAGTGATATCTAAAGCATCGAAAGGGGGATATTTCGGGACCCAACCCCCAAACACCTCTCGGAGGTATGGCAAGCTGTTGAGAAAGTTGTCAAACTGAGCTTGGGTCGAATGCAATTGATCCATGTTAAACTAACATCGATCGTAATGGAAGGAAATCCTTTAACCATTTAGGTGGGAGTTTCTTTCAACATGGTGGCAGGAGGAGTGGTAACAATGACAGATACTGTGGAACAGCGACCAGACAACATATAAACACTGACAATATCTGACAATAATTTGTCCATCCCGACAGCACGTCTATTCAACCCCTCCTCCAAAGTGGAGCATTTTTTGGGTGCCTAGGCTACGGGGAAACCCAACCGTCTAGGGAGACCGATCCCTATGTCAAAAAGCACAGTCTTGTTTGGGCACCTTCTTGGGGCACCTGGGCTCATCTGAGCGGAAACCTGCAGGGCTCATCTCCTTGGGCTCGTTTTGAAGGAAAGCAACAGGGACACGGAGCCCATTTTTTTCGGGGGCCCGCTTCCGATTTTGTCACGCCCAGTTCGATTTTTTCGAGGTGAACTACAACCAAGGCCTTCCAGTGACCTGTGCGGTGATTGCCTCGACCATGGTGTCGCTCTGGGTAGCTCTGACGAAAGCCAAGAAGCAAAAGGGGGTCTGTGGGTACCCTCTTTGCCTGGGTTAAAAGGGAAACCAAATGGACAACTGGAAACCCAACATTTAATTTTTAAACCCTGACAAATTGATTTCTCCATGAACTGACTAGCAACGGGGGTCTTTCTTCTCTAACTATCAGGTTGAACCATCCCGGAGGCCCCTGTAAGTGGCAGGCAGATTCGACTTTGACCCCTCTGCAGCAGCATAGCTATTGCTTTCCGAACCCCGGAATATGCTTTGAGTGCTTCTGTGACAGGAGCGTAGGGTTCGCCTCAAGCAGGAGCACGCATTCGGCAAGTCCGCGCAAAAGTGGGCTCAGCTGTTTCTGCAAAGTCGTATGCCAGATGACTCACTGCACGCAGTTGTTCGACAGCTTTTGTCGGTTGCCCTCGTCTTGAGGTTTGTTCCTTTGCTCACTGTGTGCCACAAAGATAACTTCTCTAGCTGCATCAAAAGTCAACGTTGAACGGCCATCGCCTTTGATCTGACCGCCAGCATTGGTGAAGCAGTTGCAAAGGCATGCTGAAGCAGAGCTTGGGCATGGATTGATTCGGAGGTCGGTTCACGGAACTCTTCAATGCTACCCCATGTTTGGTTGAAGCAGGGCGCCGCCCTCGGGGTGGTACCTTCCATGTGGCCTGCGCATGTGCAAGGGCGATTCTGCTATACAAGGGAAAACAAGCCATCTTAAGGAGTGGTAGGTGTCACTAGACCCCTCTTTCCGTACAGCTTCGCTCATGCACTCTGAGAGCTATATTTGGCAGCCGCTTTCGCTGATCCGTACATTTGTACCACACACAGGGCCGTTCCCGGCCCTGAATGAACATGGGGATCCATCTAGCGGGTTTACAGCCCAAAGAGGGGTCGCTGGAGTGCGGCTGCCTTTGATGGCCACCTGTTTGGTGTTCATGGAACGCATCCTCCATGATTCGGACATCCCCATGTAAATGATGTTCACCAAAGTGTTCCCAAATAAACAAGCAGTCCTCAGTTATCTCTTTAAATGACCAAACAATCAAGTTCTTGTGCCACCTGGCCAGACCATGATACCGAAACAACGCCCAGTTTTCGTGTTTCTTGTTCGGGCTCAGAAAACCATTGGCTGTGGGTCAAAACCAAAGGGATGCCATTTTTGGGTAGGTGAATTCACCATCCATTTTAGAACCTATTTTAGTGGTTGGATTGAAGCGGATGTTCACTGGGGTACGATTTGGTTTTTGACCCATGGCCAAACGACCAAAATTCAAACTCGTGTGTCACCCGGCCGAACCATCTTTCCAAAACATCCTCTTTTTCAGAAATCAGACAACAAAACACCTTTTCCATCTTCTCAACACGTCCCATTTGTTGTTCCGGGCGCAGAGAGCAAGATCTTTTCAGGTGGCCTGCAAGACCTTGAACCGCCTGCTGGACGGCCCGGTGATCCACATCGCCCAGGGCTCCGTGCTGGTCGCCATGCTGGCGGTGCTCGCGGACTGCCTAGCGGGGCTCGCGTACGACGGGACCTGCGCCTCGGATCGCTCAGCGCGTTGAGTTGAAGCGGCGGTTGAGACGGCGGACGCGGCGTTTGGGTTTTGTTGGCCTGGTCGACAGGGTTCCAGTCATTTAGAAAAATGATGTGTGAGAAACAAACAGGATTGGAGATCATTGAACATGACAAACAGAAACTCACGTGATGTCGCTTGATTAGACTATGGGGAGTCAAGCAAGCATGATTATGATAAGCTGTATCTATGATTCTATTCGTTTTCTTAATGACTTTGCACCAGTTCCTGGAGCCTAAACATTGTCTCATCACCAAAAGTCATCGTGTACATAGCTACTTGACCCCCCCCAATCATAAGAGAGACTGCGGGTTGACTCTGTCAGAACAGTTCAGCTAGGTGAACTTGCTTCCTGACTCACTCTTTTTACTTCTGGAAAATGTCTGGCAAGAAGTTTAACTTGGCAAGAATTGAAACCTGTTGAACCTTTCGATTTCAAAGCACTGTTTGGACACGCTTCTCATCCACTGTTGCCGATCATATGTGAAGTGGAAAGTAAAAATAACAGCTTCCAAAAACGAGCATGGAGCCTGAAGGGGACTCCCTGGTCTGCACACGTTCCTCTCACAGAGCCCCTCCAGGTTCAGGTTCCATGGAATTGTTTGGCCTAGGCCTCCTTTTTCACAGGCCTTTAAGAGAACACTTCGCCTCAAGTCGAACAAACAGAAAATGGCCGCCCCAGACAAGCCTTTAAGTCAGTAGAATGAGTCAGTCAAATGTGTCAGTCCTGCACACACAGCGGAGGGCAAAGGGGGGGGGGTTAAGAGTCGGGGGTCTGTTGGAGCTCGCCGAGCGAGGTATCTGGGCCTATTTGGTGCCCTCGGCCATCCAGGCGCGTGGCGTGGGCGAAAGGGGGCCGGAAAACCGGGGCCATGGGACGGGGGAACCAAACACTTTGGTAGGGAAGGAACCTCTAACTGGAATGGGGGAACCGAACTGGGGCACCTGGACCGGGGTTCCTGGGGCCATGGAAAGCGAATGCCTTTTGGAGGGCAGCAGAAGTGTTGATTTTGATTGGTGTTTGACAACAACAGTCTTTGATCTTGAAGGAGCCCCATTTGGAGATCGGGTTTTGGATGGTTCAAAGGAAGCCCAAAGGAAGCTCATGAGGTGAGCCTCATGGGGGTGCCCATCATGTCGCTGCCGACTCTGTACATGGACCCGCTGGAGAAGGCGGGTAAGTTGCGGGCCCAAAGGGAGACACAACAAGGGGTCTGAACACAGGGTGGTGACCGGTGGTGCTTTTTGTCCTTTCTTTGGGGGTGGAAGGAGTTCTGCCCCAGAATCAAGGTCACTTGGGGAATTCCTCATATCCAGTTTTTGACTCATTCTGGCGACTGCGTTCCTTGCTACACCTTCCTTGCACAGTGCCGGGTCCATCTCCACGGCCCTCGCCTGCCACAAGTTTTTCGGGGACGACTCCCCTCCCCTCGCCGGGCTTCCCAGCGGGGCTCCCCTGGGCTGGGGGAGCGGGCGGGAGCGGGCGGGACCGGGCGGCGGGCGCCGGAGGTGGCGGGGCTGGCGGCGTGCATGGAGGTGGTGGCCTGCGGGTTCCTGAGCTCCATCTTCTCGGCGCTGAGCACCCAGGCGCTGCTCAGGGGCGGCCAGGCGGGGAACTGAGGGGATAGGGGTGTGTGAGGGGGGGGGGATAGGAAGGGAGGGGGGGTGAGGGGGGGGATAGGAAGGGAGGGAGGGGGAAAAGGGCGGCTCTGGGGGTTTGACTTTGAGATCTCAAGGGGGCGTGTGGGCATTGGGGGTGACTGAGGGGGAATCGGGGACAATGAGATGCCATCGTTTCGCGAGGTACGTATAGATGTGAACATGGGCGTGATACAAAACAAGGGTAGCCTTCTGCTGAAAGGGCACAAAAAGCCTCACCCATCCCAGTTCAATACCCACACTCCTTTAAACAAAATAATGCAGGGAAAACTACTGTCGGACCCTCAAAGAGCACCCATGTCCACTTCCTTCTTTTCTGATTTCACCGGGGCAAAACAAACCAACCGCACGCGCGATGAAGATCGCCAACTTGGGATGCCGGCGTTCCAGGGCTGTGATTTGATAGTAACCTGCTCGGCGTGTATTACTACCTCACATCCAGTTCTTCTCTTTTTCCGACTTCCATTTATATCCTGTAGCCATTTTGGAGTTGGAGTTCCAACCATTCAAACCCATTGCCGATGTTTTGCAGGTTGTTAGGGAATGAGGAAATGCCCCCTACCCGTCTCTCGCCGTTTTGCCCGCTTTTCTTTTTGGAGGGGGTGTCCCTTCAAAATCGAGCTACCAACAAGAGGCACTGCTCTTCAGTGTCCCTTTCTGCCTATGGAAATCCAGTGGGCATCTGGGAGCTACAAAACGAAGAGTGCCCCGTTTCGCCATGGAAATCCGGGGGGGGGATGTGGGATTCACAGAACTCTCCAGGTTGCTGGAAAATCAACCATCGATTCGGATCTGGGTTTGCTGCCGGGAATCCCCCAAACTTTTTGCCCGTGGGGGCTTCCCGCGGGAATTTCGTTGGAGTCGCCAGGCGGGTCTGGTGCTCTTCGAGGCGATGGTCACCCTGACCGCTGGGGTGGTCTTCTGGCTGGGCCAGGGAGTCTGGTGCCTCGGATTGAAATTTTCATCGGTGCTCACCGGGGGCCAGCGACCCTGACATGGGTGGCCCGGCGATTTCTTTTTTTAAAGGCTATGGACCCTTAAATGGTTGGACCGGACCCCCCCTTGTTTTTTTTTAACCAACGGTGTGCCTTGTGGTTTCGTAATTGAAAACCAAAGGGGTTGGTTTTCCATTTTGGCTTCTCTTTGAACCAAGGGGACAAGGGTACCCTACCAAAAAACACTTTTTGGCACCTGAGATTGGGGGGTCCCTCCAAGAGGACATTGATCGATGTTTCTGGGAGGAAATGGTCTGTCGTTGTCCAGGCAACCCTTAAGTGGTGGCTTGGATTGGTGCTTTGCATGGGAAACCACCCCGAAGGGAAGCTGAGCTAAGATTCAATTTTCTGGAGGGACATGGGCCACCCAATATCCAGCAAAAACCAAACTGTAGGTCTCAAACAGACAAACATTTGACAGTCTATTGTTAATTCGGAAGAGCCTCAAAAAAATTATGGACCCCGTACATGTGGCTTCCTTTTAGGTGTCGCCCAAAACGGGAACCCTGCATGGTTTGGAAGGGCAACCACACGGAAGTCAAGCTTTTTGGCTTGATGTTCCTTTGCTTTTATGGTCTTTGTGTTCGACATCGCTTTGGTTTCGGCGATTTCGTCCCTCGCTGGAGCTCGCAGTGGTTCACTGTCCGCACCGTGGAAGGCTGCAGCTGGGCTCTCTCCAAACCGGGGAACATCCAAAGCGGGTTCTTGTTTCGGCGTTCGCTTCAAACCCCCCGGGGACCCAACCTGATTGCACAGCGCAGGAGGCCAATGGAACCTTCTCCTCTGAGCCTGCCCTTGCTTGCGCCAGAGTGGAATGGCAACGGCGTCGTGCGGTGATTCGGCAAGGGCCGAAGGAAGCCGCGTTTTTTTTCTTCCCCATGGATCGGGCCAATTAGACTGGCTTGTGATCTCGTTGTTTGAATTGTGGGTCCGTTTCCTTTAGACTCTGCCTCCTACTTTCCTCCGCAGCTTGATTCGAGGGCTTAGCTTCCTAAAGAAAAAGGACTGCAAGTGAGGGCAGAGTCCAAGCATATCCCGTTTGTCCTTCCACGCGGAAGCGGGTTAGAGACGGTTCCCTCCTTTTGCACATTGCACAGGAAGTTCGTTTTCAATACTGACAAGACAGAGATGTCTACCATGCACATCGACGGCGTCGTCGGTTCCCAAGTGATGATCCGGGCAAACTATGATGCTCACCGATCCGGGGTAAAAAACGAGCTCACCCATGCGGGTTTGCAGTTTTAGGATATGTCCCTTTGATGGATTACTATGAGTTGCCCAGATCATTCAGTCAGGACCTGTTGGGTCCTTTTGGAAAAATTAGCTGACGGGGAATGCTCTCAGTCTAGCCTGGCATCTGCCAGAAGAGCAAGCCCGTGACCGAATTTGGTTGAGGGACAGCTGGCGACACATGTCGCAAGCGTGCGGCTCGCGCACGTGCGCGCACAAAAAGGCGCGCACCGAGTTGTGCGAAGGATTTAACGATATAGCTAAAACCTGGAACAAAATCCGATAGCAAGGCCCAACACATCTCAGGCGCGAACATTGCCGGCCTTGTGTGTATGTTCTTTCACAGATGCGGAACACCTCCCCGACCGGTTTCAGGGAACCCGGGTTCAGGGAACGCTGTCCAACCATGAAGGCCCCCTGGAACCCCCGGACGGAAAAGGGATGTTGCTGTCAAGGTTGCCGCTGACCCACCTCGGTCTATAACGAAGGGCTCCCTGTGCAGCGGTGATCACGAAGGTCTTTCCACGCAACCCCCTGAAACAGAAGACTCAAAAAGCCACCAGGCCACCTCGGCCTGAGGCCAGGAATTTCACCTCCGGGTTTAGCATGTCAAGCCAGTTATCCCCCTATTCCCTGCTGACAACTAGGGCTAGGTTTGGAATTTTTCCCGCCTTTCCCTCGGTTGCCCTCCAGCATCCGCTGGTAGGGGGGGGTTCCGTGTGTTTCGGGGGAGGCAAGCTGATGGCGCGATTGGGGTGTTTGCAGCGGCTTGGACCTCTACTGGTCACATGGCACGTCAGGGGCCCAAGGAATATAGGGCACCCTGAGGGCGAGAATAATTGTCAACATAGTGTTTCCATTTGGCAAGAGCGCTTGAGTACACCGTTCGGACGCCATGCTGGTTTGCAGGAGGCAAATGTGTCAAGAGGGCTTGCCCAACTGGTGGTTTACCCTTGGTTTGGGACATTCCTAGAATCAGTCCTGCACTCTGCATCCTATTCCTCATTCAGCGATGGTTTCGAGGTGGACCTGCCCCCCTCTCCCCCCCCCCCCCTTCCCCCCCGGAACAAAAAAAATGGAAGGCTGGCTCTCGGGTTCTGGAACTTCCAAACGGGGCGTCAGCTTTGCAGACGGACCCAGTTTCGGACTCCAGGCGGCTGACGCGCTGGCGGGCTTCGGCGATTCCGATCGAGCGCGCGGCTCTGATGGGGTCGGAACCCAGCGGGAACACATTCGGAATTCATTCGGGGAACTTGGGGGAGCACATGAAGCCATCTTGGGGCCTTGGCGCGGATGAAGGAAAGTGAGTTGCAAGAAGTGGCTCGCTGGAGATCAGAGCCATGGGAGTCGGGGGACAGACACTTTTTGCCACAGGGAGTGCCGAGTTCAATGTCGCCCTTTTGACCTGGTTTGCAAAGGCCAGCTTTGCTCCATTTTTCATGATCCCAAGGGTCAACCAGTTGTCCTGCCTTGTGGAACACCCACAGCTGCAGCAGGCGGGCCCTTCCAGCGCCGCCCTAGATCACCTCGGCTGAGGTGCGACGACGCGATGCGACCGCGCGGGAAAAGAAGCGCTCGTGCGCGGGGGTCGGTTTGCTCGGCGGTTTCTCAGCCAATATGCATCATGCACTGTGGTGTCCTGTGCCATGCAAACCTTGCCCCCCCCCCCCATGGTGTTGTTGTTGCAAAAGTACAATCAGACTGCGCTGGATATGTAGTGAAGGCAGATTGTTTATCCTTGTTGGCCCTGCTGTGAATCTGTTTGTTTCTGCACCTGAAGTGTTCGTCGTGTTTGCTGGCTGCAGTTTTTGTTTGTGTGTGCATTGGCAAAAGAGGGCTGGCTCTTGTGCCAGTGACTCGCGTTGAAGCCTTCCCCGCAGGCGGCTACCGCCCGGTCGGGGATGGTGGATGTGCGGGCGCCAAGAGCGGAGCGGTCTGCATCTGAAAATTCCGTTGCACCATCCGACTGTCCATGGCAGTCTGCTGCGCGAAAGAGAAAGCCGGTTGCCAGGCGTTCCTGCGTTTGCAATGATAGGTCCAAGCTGCAAGTCTTGGTAAATCGAAGTTATTGCAAAAAGAGTTCCAGAAAGAGGAAGACGTTGTTGGGATTTCCTTAGGAGAATGAATGCTGTCATTTCTTTTTATTTTCTTATCTCTGGAATTCCTGGAAGGACAGATGATTAAGGCAAGAATGAGAGAATGATGATTGACTCGCCGAGAATTGCCTTCATTCCTATGTCTCAGTGGGCAGTTTCCTGCATTCGCTTACTCCTTCTGCCGTCTCACATCATACCTTCATACCAAGAATTCCCAATCAAGACATATCCAGCAATCGACGAGCTGTTCACTGACTTTCTCTTTTCTATTCCTTGCCTTCTCCCATCATTTCCAGTCGTGGGACGGGGTAAAGAGAAAGCAAGAGGAAAGTGCGTGACCATGAAATCCAGATATTTTAATATTAATAACGTGCCTCACGTAGAAGCTCCTGGATGTCACATTCTCTTTTTACATTCTATTTATCCTTTATTTGCACCTCTTGGTCTTCCCTTTGTAAACATCTTTGTTGGACATCTTGGTTTGACAACATTTCATCAGCACGGTTTCTACTATGGAGGTGCCGGCGAGGTTTCAAGGAGTAGGTTGGCCCATCTCGAAGGAAATGTGGGTTGGCATGTGCGCCATGAAAAAGCCCCTTTGGGTAGGGATTGTCATCAACTCCTTGAGGGTTTTAGACATGTCAAGGCTTTTTAGCCACGGGAAGCGTGGCTAGGACTTACAGTATCACAAGGGTTTGACCATGGCCTATTCTTGAGAGCCGTTTCGCCGTCCTGGCATCCCATCTGTGTTCAGAATTCGATGCACCTCAACCGGTCCCAGTCCAGTTTGCGGTTTCTGTCAGCTTGTTTCTCAATGTTTGCTTGTTTCTTGTTTGCAACTTTCATTTTCTTCCGCTTCTTCCGAAACCCCAGAAATATTGGGAGGAAAAGAGAGCAACACAACTCGCAGGGCTTCCTTGCCAGTTGGTTTCTCTGCTTTTCTCCCAGTCCCCAAGTGGTCGTTTTCTCTGGCAGCAGGTGGAGTTCTCCTGCTGCAAGCCGACCTGGGCCACCGGCGCGGCGCGGCGCCTGGTTTTTGAGGCGAAGGGTGCGGCTGGTAGGGACAACAAAAGGAACCTGCAGCTTTTTGCAGGTCCAAATCCGTATTTTGACACATTGCCCATGTGGCATGGTCAAAAAGACTTGGTACAGGTCACGGATGGCCATGGAACCTTGAACCAGGTGTCCGCACAAATGGTCAGGCGATGTGAATCCACATTGCCCTTAGGGGCCAAGATGCAACGAGATGGTAATTTCGGGCGCTGGCTGCCTGGCTGCAGGTAATTATGCTAGAGCGCCCAAACAGAGACTTCAACACGACTGTTGCAGCAATGACTCGTGAGTTCCTTTTTGCCAGCGGTGATTGACATACCCGTTTGGTGCTGTCCTGGTTTGCTACTGGTTTTGATGTGCAGACCGACTGGGCCTCAAGGGCTTTGGTACGTGCGCCGAGGTCGAATCACTCGGCACTACCACCATTGATGAGGATGCACTCCTAGGGGAGGCCCCCGACAGTCGGTTGGGTGAGGGCCGAAGCTTGGGTTGGGGTGGGTGGATGGAAGATCTTTGCGCTGGGTGTATGGCGGCTGCCGGAGATAATTTCGGACGCATCCAACGCGCAGTTCAATGTTGTTATTTCTTCAAAGCTTGGACTTGTTGAACAGGAGCCCTAACCTTCAAACCAGCCCCTCCCTTCTCACCGGCGCAACGGGCATTTCATGATGCCGAGCGCTAGGGTCAACTCACATGGGCGGATTTTCTGTGCCAAGCAACATCAGCAGAAAAGCTATGACTCGCTGTCCGCTTCTGAGGGTCAACCGCCACATGGCTCCTGTTCGCTTAAATGGATTCCTGTTGAAGAGCTGAGCATGTGCTGGGTTGGCATGGGATCTTTGGATTGAGTCTCTCTCCGATCTCCCCTTCCATCAAAGACCTCTCCGTCTTTTGTCCGGGGCAACTAGCTCGGGAATGCTCTTGACTATTGATGGGTTCCACTCTGTAGGGAGTATTATCCTTCAAAGCATGTGAGAACTCTCCAGGCGCTCACTTTGTTCCAGTGAATTTAAAAAAAAAAAAAAACACTTCATAGCAAAAATCCAACAACCCCATGGACTGCCATGCTTGTTTCGCCGAAAATCCAACAACCCCTCGGCGCAAACCCCCCTTGGGGGCGACGGCTTCCTGGCGGGGCGACAGGGGCGCCAGGGGCACTTTGCATGAGCCGCGCAGCGTCAGGTGCCACAGCCGGTGGGCAAGGGCAAGAGCGACTGCAGCTCCCAGCCCAAGGCGAGGCCTTGACGCCAATGGGAGGGGGTGGGGTGGGGTGGGTCGGGTGGGTCGGGTGGGTGGGGTGGGTGGTGTGGGTGGGGTGGGGTTTCCATTTTGACCCACTAAAATACACACTTTTAGAAGGGGATCTGAGGACAGCCCAGTTTTTTGCTTGCCCAAAAAGGATACTCACCTCAAATAAGTCCACGGATCTTGAACACCTCCCAGAAAAGGTTTTTAGGACACCCTGGTGTACGTCCACCACAAAGTCTACGAAGAGACGCTACCGCAAATCAGCGCTTCGCACGCTGAGAAGGTCGCCCAAAAAGCGAAACCTACGCAGGGCTTGTTTTTTGGACCCAACATCAAAGGGC